GCAATTATTGTGATAATTGACAATTACCTACAATATGTAAAGAGAACATTAATTGTGTAACATATTAATTGTAAAATTATAACGTTAAGAAACATGAGGTGTGAAATGATCTATTTATGTGTAATTTTTCAGGTACTACGTGACTTAAGTCTAAAATGTATATAAAAATATCACAGAATCATTTTTTGCATTCATTTATCCCCTATGTGTTCCGGGACTCGTCTTGGTAAAAAAAGCAGGTAGAAAGTACTGGCCAGAACTGTTGTCAAGATTTTCATTTAGAACTCCTACTGGTGAAAGGTAAGTTGAGCCGGACCATAAAATATTTTGTTCAGCAGCATATATTTCATTTAAAAGTTCATTATTATGTACGGCTAGGTTTTCCACAAATCTCCTTTGGAGGTTGAGAGCATACGTGCAGAATGGCAGAATGTTTGCGCAGGTGTAAATGTGCTGATTTGAGAAGCGCTTGGAGGGATTTTGGAAGTTTTTTCCCACACATTTCCTCAGGATTTTTCGTTCAAACATTTCAATTTCATTTGCCACTGTCGGGGAAATCGAAAACCACATTGGGAAACCATAATACATAATTGGACGAATGGCGACTTTATATAGGAGCAACTTAGTACTCTGTGGCAGATAAGTATTGCACATGATGTATGATAAACGACCAGCTGTCATTTTGGCTTTTTTCAGGGCGGCTCTGGCGTGATCATTAAATTTAAAAAGGTTATTTATGTTTATTCCCAAATATTTTAAGGTGTTCCTAAAAGGGATTTCTGTTCCATCAAGCGAGAGATTCAATAGTTTGGATTCAGGCACTACTGTTCTATGGCATTTTCCTGAAGCGTTTCTAATGCAAATTGCCTCCGACTTCGCAGCATTTATGGAAATTCCCCATGTAGTGTAATATGCTTTTATAATTTGAAGATGGTACGCTGCATTATTGAGAGCAGTAATTGGTGAGTTGTTATGACTATATATCAGGCAATCATCCGCGTATAAAATAGATTTAGAATTTTCGGAGACATGAGGAAAATCATGAAGGAACAAGTTGAACAGTTGGGGTGACAGAACGCTGCCCTGGGGAACACCACTTTCTATTGCGCCAAAATTGGACATATAATCATTGATAATAACAGTAAATTTTCTGTTATTTAAAAAGCTTGAAAACATCTTGACCAGAAACGGATCCACGTTCAGTTTAATTAATTTATAAATAATTCCTTTGTGGTATACAGAATCAAATGCCTTCTGGATATCTAGAGAGATTGCCACTGTACATATTTTCTCTCTTAGGTGACTCGTTATATCATTGTGAAATTTAAGTAAGGCGTGATTTGTAGAGTGAGCTGGTTTAAATCCAAACTGAAATGGGGAAATAGGGTTAATAATAAATTCGTTTTCTAACTTTTCGTGTAACACGCGCTCGAAGATTTTTCCAATGTTTGAAAGTAAGGAAATAGGACGAAATTCGCCAGGATTTATGCTGCTAGGCCTTTTCTTTATTGGGATAATCTTCGCCGACTTCCACGGTTCTGGAAAGTATCCGTTATTTAAGCAATTATTAAAAATTATTGTTAGAAAATTAATTGCTGTATCTGGGAAATTTCTAATCACATAGTTTGATATGCCGTCTAGCCCACTTGATTTCTTCTTCTTTAAACAGGCAATTTGAGATTTAACAACGGAGGTAGAAGTGAAGTGATAAGTGTCAGGATTATCCAGCGAGTTAAATTCTTCATTAAATGTGTATATATGAGTAGGAATAGGATCTAAACATGATGAAATAGAATCTTCAATATCTGACGGTGGCTCATCGGGAACGTTTTCACGGAATGTATTCACATAGTGGCTATAAAAAGCATTGGCAATATCAGGACCGTTGGAAATAGTTACATTATTTATGTGTAGTTTTTGGCAGAAGGAAGATTTTGCTTTTCCAACAATTTGGTAAACTTGCTGGAAAGCTGAGGGTCCTGGCTTAATATTTTTTAATTTGTTGTTAAATAATTTAGCCTCTTCGTTTTTTATAAGATCCTTAATTATTATCTTTAATAATTGTATTTGCTTAGATAGGAGGTTGTACTCACTGCTTAATCTGTTTCCATTTGTGTGAAAGATATTTTTCAACTCCCTTTGCCACTGGTGTTTTATTTTAAGAATCTTCTTTATGTTTTCAGGGAGTGCAATTTTATGATCTCTAAACTCCACTTTTTCGGAATGCTGATCGTGTATGGAGTGGAAGGTATTTTCGAATCTGTTTATATAATCGTCTACTTCTTGGTTATTTAAATTTCTATTTTTAGGTGGCAACGTTTGGCGAAGAGCTGAGTCAAAGTCCCGACGATAGGTTACCCAATTTGTGCATTTATAAGATGTAAAGACTGGAGGAGACTTCAATGCAAGACTGGCCGTGTTAAAAGCTAATTCCAATTTTAACGGGAAGTGATCCGAAAAAGTGGAAAGCGATGAGATGTTGTAATTAGCAGCATTGTAGTCAATCAAATTTGGACTAATAAGAAAATGATCAAGGAATGAGGATCCGTTTGGGTATGAAGGCGTTGAGCAACAAATTCTACTAATTTTAGTGGAATTATCAAGCAACCAACTATAAAGAGCTTTACCATTAGTATTGTCAATGAGATCTCCCCATGATACATTTTTGGAGTTGAGGTCTCCGCCAAGAATGAACCCGTCATATTGTGATGTTGCCGATAGACAGTTATTTAGTCCGTTTATAAGTTGCAGAGAATTGTAGTTACATGGGATATAGAGCGATCCCAACATATATTTACGTATGATGTTACCTCTTGTTTCGATTTCTACAAAAACAGTATTGAAATTAATGTTTTCAATATCAATTCGTCTGTAATTGAGGTTACTTTTTAGTAATATGGCTACTCCTATGTGTGAGTAGTCATAAATAAAGTTGTAACCGCATATTTTTATTCTTTTATTTCTGCGAAGATGCCACTCTTGTATAAACGCAACGTCAATATTGTGATTTATGAGGTATTTTTGCAACTCAATTTGTCGGCTACGATCTAGTAATGAACGTACGTTAAAGGTTAGGAAATTAAGAGTTCTATGGCCCATAATTTTCCTTAACTTTTTTTAAGAGGCTCATAAACTTAGTTGTTGCCTCACTTTTTGACATTTTGTTGTATTCAGCTAGGAAAATTTCAATTTCTTGTTCCAAGCTGAGCTCTTCTGGCTGCAAGAATAGACTGGATAGTTTCAAAAACTCGTCAATGATGGATGATTTTGTACTGTGGCAAGGCCTGGGTCGTAAAAAACTTGCAAAAGTTTTGTTTGGTGAGACTAAGCTGGTTGATAGGGCAAGTTTGACATTTTGTTTGGCAGTTTCCGTCGTTTTTATTGCTGTTTCAATACGTTGTCTTCGAGTTGCAACGTAGTTTTTGTAAGCGGGACAACCCTTCCAATTTGCAGTATGACCAGTTGCTTTGCAATTTACACAATATGGATCAGAAGTATCGGATTTTAGTCTCTGACACTCACCTGGCAAGTGAATTTTGTCACATTTTACACATTTGCGGACTGAGGCACAGTTCTTTGATAAATGCCCCCAGGCTTGGCATCGACGGCATTGTATATCCTGATCCTTTCTTTTTGGCTTCTCCCAAAAAACTGGTTGTTTCTGTATATATTTAATGTGAGAAATATCGCTTAAAGATTTGCCTGGTTCTAATGTGATCAAGAGAAGACCAGTATCAATATTTTCTTTTATAGACCTAGGTGTTGTAAATTTGGTAACCTTCGAAACAACATTGGGAATTATTTCATCGAACAGGGTTTTAATGTTATCTACGTCAATGTCATGATACAGACCTCTTAGTACAAATGAGACTTTTTTCAATTCCTTCGGGGTGAATGTATACGCCTGTACTGGGTTTTCGCGCAATTTCTCCATCATTGCTATGTGAGCTTCGGGATCTGAAAGATACAGTTTGCATTTATTCATACCCGTATTTTTAAGCTTGTATTCTATTTGTCTCCATGTTTTCTAGCTGTTCAACTAGTCGTTTTACATTGATATTGTATAAAAAATTGGCGGACAAAAAGTTTTTCTGGATTTCTGCTTGTCAGTCACTGTTTTTGGCTCATCAATGTTGCGATTGGGAGGACGTTGCTGCTGAGTGCTTTCAATTTCTAGATCTGCAAACATTGCAAATCTATTTTGATTGTTAGGATCATAGTTTAGTCCTGTGATATCAATCTCCGCCGGAAGGGATCCATCTTCTAGCCGTAAACGCTTATTGTTGTTGTTGTTGTAATTAATTGTTACAGGTGGTGTAAGGTTCTGTTGCAGTGGATTTTCAATGTCCATTGCTGATGAAGTATGTGGTGCAGGTATCATCAGATTCGGTAGCATCTGATAGAATACCTGCTAAAATTAATAGACACTTGCAGATAATATTAAATATTTGGGTAAAAAAAAAGAGCGCTAATAAAATTGCGACTAGACTGTTAGGGTTCTCCAACACTTCAAATACTTTGGCTGTTAAAATGCACAGTAAATTGTTGAGGGAAGTACCGCTTAGCAGCATTCGCTGTGATCTCTGAAATATGTTTTAAACTGCTCCTTTTAATTATGAAGCACTCCTGAAAAATTCAGCAATTGTGATGTTTTACTTAAAAAATTGTTGCGTTCATCCTCATTGTTAAATTTTTATAATGTGCAATTTAATGCACCGAACGTGCTGAACGCCAGCCAAAAAAGAGAACCGGATACGCAGGGCGGCCGGCTAAATTTTAAAAAGTGATGCCAAGTTTCATGTTGTGTATTGTACAACATGAGAGACATGTTGCAAAAATACAACACTGGGGATAATAGTGGGTAGGTAGAACACCTGATAAAGGTAAATAATAAATGTCAGGGAAATTGTGGGAAAATCTTGGAAAAGAGGGAAAGTTTGGTTGAGCGTCCTTGGTGGCCGTATATAAAGCACAGAGAGGGCTAAAAGCGCCATTATTTCAAAGTGATGTGGAACAGAAACAGTTCAGTCAATTTTTAAATGTTTTTTTTTTGTGAATAGAAAAAGGAAATACTAAATTGGCAGTTACAATTTGTGTGTTTTATTGTTTTATTTGTGTGGCGTATCTAAACAATTTGTAAGTGTTGATTTGTAAGTGATGTTATGTCGGATGTGTTGTGTTAAGTTTTGTGTTCTATTTAGGAATAACGCCGCGCATAAATCCACAATTGGACAACGCCATCCGACTGGGACGACAAAGAAGCGGGCATCCCCAACAATTATTTTTGTATCGCCAGGTGCGGCACAGGGGTTCCAGGCAACGAAAAGGTTCTGGAAACGGCCAAAAGACCTGGGAAACTGCCAGTGGATAACCCTTGGAACAGGCAACAGTACCAATCCGGGAAGCTAACCAGTAGATCCCACCTAAAAATCTGTAAAAAGAAGATAAAAAGTTGCCTAAGTATACCGTTGTGAAGGTAATGTAATTCAAAATTTAAGTTACTTACCAAAGAAAAGAAAGAAAGCCAAATCCCGCTGAAAAAAGTCACATGAAGCTCCTTTTCCTTTGACGGAAACACCAGTGAAAAAAGAAAAAAATATGAAATTCATCAATTAATCCGAATTTGACCAAAAGAAAAAAAAAGAAGCTATAAAAAAATATTTGTTTGTTAGTGTGTAGTTTAGTATATAAGTTAAACGTAGTGTTTGTAGTTAGATAAATAGTGCTTAAGATACAAATGTGAGGAAAATTAATGCCCATTAAATCTTATTGTTAGTGAGTGTAGGGTTGCCTCAGAATTTTACAGCTAGAAAATTTTGATTTTGCTGTTTGGGACAAGGATTTGAAATGCCCAAAAGATTTGTCTAAGTGAGCTCCTTTAGGCAGAAATTTAAAGTACTTGTATTGGCCAAAATTGGCGCTTCTAGCAGGGTAATAAAAAAGGTAATCTGAGTATTGACTCACAATTTTTGTTTTTCGTTCGGGTGTTAATAATCCAGTTTTTTTATGTGTTCGTGTTGAAATTAGTTTTAAGAGAACGATAATGATTCTAATAAATAAGCTTAATGTCTAATTGTCTAAAGAAATAATATGTTGTGCTAAATTTTATTTGTGAGAGAGGAGGTTAGGCGTTGTATGTGAGTGTGTGTGGCTTTTTGGGGCCCTTTTTAATTTTTTTTGAGTGTATTTGGACTAAAGGGTCAAGGATGGGTGGGCATAGTGGGGGAGCAATAATATCAAGCTCCTGTGTCATAGGTGTATGTTGTGTATGTTTGTTTTCAGATTTTCTGTGTTTGTGTTTATTCCAGTACAATTCTTTAAGTGTTCATTCCCTAGGGTTGATGGTGGCAGGGTTGAGAACCCCCTGGATTAACCGCTCCCTCCTGAGCTAGTGCGGAACCCCACCATAACGCCGAGTAGGCTGAATGTAACAAAATACACACTGTTTAACATTTTACTTATTATACTTATTGTTATTGAGCACAAACCTACAAAGCCGACAATGACACACATACATGGTCATCTTTACTCGATTCTCTGTAATAGATTTATTTTCACATTAACTAATTTTTACAAGGATTTCAACAATATTCTTTTATAGAAATTTTCCGGACGTAAAAAGCAACACATTTAAATGTTCTAATCTAATAATTTAATTTACAACACAAATATCAATAAACATTTCTGTGATTTTTTTCGTTTGGTACTGTTTCTTTTTCAACAATTCATGAAGGATTGATAGCACTGTGACTACTGTACAGCTGAAATGTTTCTGTTAAAATGTACTGTATACAGTTACATGTAGTGTAGCACTACGTTACTACACCCGATTAAATAACATTTAAGTAGAAACAGAATAAAAATTGATAAAGTGTATTAATCCCTTTTCTCGCAACCCTCCAGCCCAATTATTTTTGACATTTGTTATCAACAACTACACAAGCCACATCCTTATTGGACTTTCCTTAGAATTTTTTTAAGAGATTACATCCTTTACTTTGACTTTACCACCTTGGAAGGCTACACCATTTTATTTAAATAATCACGTGAAATTATTTAATATTTAATACCCAAATGTCAATGCCAGCCGATGTCCGTAGTCAAACCAACAACGACATACACACATACTCCATATTATTCGATATTTTTTAGTAGATTTCAATATTATTTTTCTCAAGAATATACATTACATTTTATAATTTAATATATAACACAAATTCCAATGAAAGTTATATGCAGCCACAAGTGATTATTGTTTCATCTTTCCGCAGTTCATTTACGAAGGAATGATAGCACGTGGCCGTTAGCCTGTACAGCAGTTATAAATTTTATTAGATCCTGTGTTTTGACACAAAACACCAATAAAACAGAATAAAATTCGAGTGAAATTTTGCTACTGTGAGCTGAGAGTTTTCTGAATATTGCAGGAGGAGAAATGTCCAATAAAATTGTTAACGTTTGATGTTTTAGTGTTCCCCGCAATTCATTCACAAATCAATGATAGCTGTTGCCGTTAATGCTGTACAATCGCAATGGTAACAGACACCATGTTGTTGAGGTTTTTTCATGATAAATTTTTGGGAATATTTTTTTATTCAAGGACCATCAATGCTATAAACATGAATTTTAAAAAAAATCAAGGACTATAACAGTTGTATATATTCGTAAATTTGTTAAGGATTTTTTCCTCCAGGCCATTAATATGTGGGGTTTAAGGTTAATATCTCAAAAAGTATTAACGCTATAAACGTGGACTTTTAAAAGATATTTTTGGTTAAAGTCCGTAAAGGATATAAACGTAGAATATTAGAGATTTTAAAGGACTTAACCGTAATAAATAGGCTAGATAATAATAAAAAGAATATTTTATTTTTTTTAGGATTTTTTTTGGGACTACCAAGGCCATAATTCTGGATTTTTAAAAATATATTTTCCAGAACCAAAGAATAAAAAGACTGCAATCGAAAAATATTTTCAAAGAACTAATAAAGTTATAATCGTGTTGTCATGGACTACAAGGATAGTATTATAAGAATATTTTTTCAGTGACTACAAACGACGTATTCCTTGATTTTTATGCATATTGTTCAAGGACTAATAAATCTATAAAAGTAATGCCCTTTAAAATATTCTTTGAGAACAATCTAGACAAAAATCGTGGATTTTCGGGTTTCCGACACAAGTTACTTACAACACTTGAATTAGTAAATTAAAAACAAATTCTCATTTTATTATTTTATGTTTAAAAGTCTTCTTCATCATCATCTTCTTTATTGTTTTGTCTTTATTACTACTTGTTTTACTTTAGATATGACCAAAAAAATATTTTATTTTTTTTTCTCAAATTTTCTTTTCTTTTTTTTTTAACTTTGATTTGTTGTTTTGCTTTTAGAAAATGGTTTCTGTTTCTTTTTCTTCTTCTTGTGGTTGTTGTTAACATTTAGAGTGATTTAAAAAATACAATGTTACAAACTATAATTTTCTTTACACTTAGCTTTATGAAAATATTTTATTTGTTAAACTAAAAAAAATGAGTTGTCATCGAAAAAAAATGGGAGAGAATGAATGAAAAACAAATTCATTCCGATGGTTTGGTATAGATTATGGCCAACTTATTGGGTGCGGGATACAGACATTCAAAATTATGCCGAATTTAAGATCCTTTTGTTTATTTGTAGAAAATTAGTTATGCATTATTAATTATAAAAAAAAATAATAAACCATGAAACTATTTCAATTTCTTTTTAAATACAAATTACATTTAAGAAGAAATACTTAGCTTTTAAAAAATTATAATAATAATTAGAATTCACTTAAACAATTAGATATATTTCTATGCAAATGTATGTGTGTATCAAGTTTAAAAATGTGGGCGATTTGCCTTTTTTTATAAAACTATTCGGAGGTTATTTAGAATTTTATTTTCTGGTTTCTCTGCTTGATTTTCTACATTTGTGTGTGGTTGTTGTTGCTGTTTTTATTATTGAAGATGCTGAATTGCGTGCGTTGTTTTCCATTCCATTTGTGGTCCTTTTTGTTTTCCTTTGGACATCTTACAAACAGGATAAATGTTTCAAATGATGCTTGAGATAGAGGAAAAAATGCCTTAAAATATCATGTATATCTGTGTTGTGTATGGTTCACGAAGCTTCCTAATATCCAATACGACTTCGTGTTGATTTTGTGTTTGTACTACTGCTGCTGCCGCCCCCACCACCTCCACCACTGCCTCCGCCACCTCCACCACTGCTACCGCCGCCATAGTTACGCTCATCACGAGAGCTGCGTTCTCGTTCACGTTCTCGCTCACGGTCTCGTTCGAATTTCTCATGGGAACGTTCACGTGTATCGCGTACATGCGGTGACTTATCCTAATGAGAAATATACGTTTTGGAATGTTTTAGAGACAATAAGTAAGACGTTGAGCAGTTGTGTTTTGTTTCAGGGGAATCTTACTCTGGCATGATATTTATCACGTTCCCGCTGCTGTAGATCATCATCGCCATTTTGCACTGGAAAAAATGGAGAGAGAAAAGGAATATTTTATGATTTGTGAAGGAAAATTAGTTTTTAAGATTAAACATGAATAAAATTGGGGAATATTTTATGAAAAGAATTATAATGACTAACAGAGAAATTGACTAACTTAAAAAAACAGAAATTGTAATGTTTTACTTAAAAATACATATTGCTAAATATTTCACTTTATTATGGAGCACCTACAAAACCGATAATGACACACAGACATTGTCATTATCTTTACTCAAAGTTTTTTCATACATTTCTTTTCAAATTAACTAATTTTTTTAAAGATTTCAGCAATATCCTGTTATAAAAATGTTCCCAACATAAAAAATCAAACAATTTCATTTAAATGTTCTAATCTAATCATTTAATTTTCAACATAAATATCAATAAACGTTTTTGTGATTTTTTTCGTTTGGTATTGTTTCTTTTTTCAACAATTCATGAAAAATTGATAGCAATATGACGACTGTACAGCTGCAATGTTACTGTTATAAAGTACTGTACACGGTTTAATGTAGCATTACGTTACCAGACCCAGTTTAAATAATAATACAGGGTGAGATGAAAAAACTGCAACCAACTTCAGACTTCTGTCATTTCTAAGCCATTCGTCCGACAGCTGTTAAAATTATTACAGTGACAGCTCATTATATTATTTATAAGCGTATAAAAGCATTTTGGTGAGAATTTTCCAGAAAAAAGTTATTCGTGATGGAATTCAAGCGTGATTTCTTTATATTTGGCTGGAAAACCACAAGTGACAATCGTTAGAGCACTCCAGCATTAAAATGTGAATAAATCTTTTGTGTGTCGTACCATCGCTCGTTACCGTGATACTGGTAGCGTAGCCCGACGTCAAGGAAGTGGACGGAAGAAAACAGCAACATCAGCAGAAATGTTTCAAAAGTAAAAAAGCGACTTGATCGAAAATCGCATCGCAGTGGCCGTTAAATGACTCGTGAGATGAACACATTGCAATATTCCATTCGACAAATATTGAAAAATTAGCTCGGTTAGAGACATCGAAATTCCAAAAAGTGTAAGAAATTACACCGCAACAGAGAGAAAACAGACTCAAAAGAGCTAAAGAGTTGCTTCGCTTGGCCGAAAGTGGTGAACTGCCGAATTTGGTTTTCTCCGATGAGAAAACATTCGCTGTCCAGCAGTTTGTAAACAAACAAAATGATTGTGTTTACTTGCCAAAGAGGTCGGCTGAAAATGCGCACCTTCGGTTGGCCACCTGAACTCAAGCGCCGGCCATGGTGATGGTGTGGGCCGCCATAACAGCCGATGGTCGCTCTCCGCTCGTATTAATCGACCGTGGCATCAGAATAAATTCCGAATATTATCGCGAAAATATTCTCGATGGTTCATTTAACATTTTGGCGGCAGACCTTGGACATTCCAACAGGACTCAGCTTGCGCCACCCAAAAAAGGTTACACAATCTCCGGACCAATCCGTTGGACTGTTGTGTCTGGAGTATTTTGGAAAGCAAGGTTGGTACAAAAAAATATCAAAGCGTCGATCACCTCAAGAAAGACTTTGTTGCGGTTTTTTATCTCATCCTGTATTCAAGCACATAAAATTAATAAAGTAAGTGGTTAAAGGGTTGTAGCCGTAGGGTTTAAGAAAACTAATTATTTTGAGGATTTCAAGAAAATAAATTGTGGATGAAGAATACTATTTGGAAAGACTTCCTGAAAATTAAACGTGGATTTTTTTCAAATATTTTTTCTAAGACTTCCAGAAAATTAAACGCGGATTTTCTATGAATATTTTTTAAAAGAACGCGGATTTTCTTTAAGTGTCTGAGTTGTAGCCGTAGGTTTTAATAACAAAATATTTTAAACGACTGCAAGACAAGAAATTGTGGATTTTAAAAAATACTTTTTTCAAAGGCCTCCAGAAAATTAAATTAAAAATATTTTTCAAAAACTTCCAGGCAATTAGAAGAGGATTTTTTAAGAATATTTTTTTATCGAGACTATAAACTCGGTTTTTTTAAGGTCATTCTTCCAATATTTAATGCTCTGAGTTGTAGCCGTATTTTGAAGAATAATTTTTCCAAAGACTTCAAGAAAATTAAACGTGGATTTTTTATAAATATTCTCCAAGCTATTAACATCGATTTTTTAAGGATGTTCTTTAAGAATTTTTTTAAGAACGCCGATTTTCAAAAATACTCACTATGGACTTGAAGGCATACTTGATTTTCAGGGATTACTAGCTGAAGGTGTAGTCATAAATTTTGTCCAAACACTACTCACCATCTCTTCGTCGTTTGTGTTCCGAGGTGCTGGTCTCCTCTAAACGTTCACGTTTGCGACCCAATTTACGTTCTTTGCGTGCATCTTTTTCCTCATCGGTAAGTTTCTCCTTGCGTTCTTTACTCTTGAGGCCACGTTCCTTTTTCGATTGCTCGATGTGATCGTCTAGATTTTGTTTCTGCAAGTATAAATATAGCGTATATTATTTTAAATAAAACAGTTGTCACGAGTTTTAACAAAAGCCACCAATCCAAATACATATTTGCATTTTTAAGACATAACCTAAACATGGACTTTAAATACTTAACACCTCTTCCTTAAAAGTGATATAGTTTTTTCTCTTTTTTATTTAGTCTATCTAAACTATTTTTTGTAATATCTAGACTCCTTGCAATTTGGGGGTTAATTTTTGTGAGAAAACTTACCGCCATGACCAGACCAGTGGGTAGGTTTCAGTTTTTTCTAAATATTTTTTATCTTTATTTTTGGGCCAGACCAACATTTTCCCCAACAACAAGAGAGCAGCAGCATTTGCAGATCACAGAGAACAAACAACTTCTTCTTCGTCATAAACGTCCAATATTAGAGTAACTTAAAAATTAGGGCACACCAATGTCCATTTCAAAGGCAATAGCAAAAAAGACAGCAGATGAATGTAGAATCGTGGAAAAGACAGGATTTTGTCTACAGTAAGGACTATTTTTTTTGCAGTTGAATTTGCACACGACGTAGATAATGTAGATTTGTTTTCTTCAACGCAAGCGTGCCGTAATCCCACAAGTCATTTGAAAATGCTGCTTATGAGTTAGATGCACCAAAGAAAGGCTATTAACCGAGAGACATGTTGAATGAAGTTTTTGTTGTCATTCATTTTCTATTTATTCGGTAGGAATCCAACAATGTTGTTAGAGATCATGTTTTGGCTTTTGAAACTCCATCGGATGAACACTGTTGCCAGTGACTCTCAAGGCATTGAATTGTTGTTGGAGTCATTTTTTATTTTCCTTTTTCAGGATCACCGGATTAATTTTCGAAACACGGATGAGAGCGTAGAAATACGCCATATTAATTATGTAAATGATATTCTTCTTCAAGCCCCTTGCAAATGTTACTTGGATTCAGGCGTCTTCATTTATATGACGGGAAGTTGGTGGGATAATATTTATTCAGCAGAAATTCAGCATAGTTGTTTTTAAAGATGATTTTAACTGGAACTCCATTAATTGAACACAGTTTCCAAAAGTTCAAAAATTATTGTGAAATTGAAAAGCAGGTGAACTAAGTTTGAAGAGGCACAACTTATGCCAAAAGGTCGTCCCAAATGATCCAGCCACCAAAAACAATATTCTCGAATAATCTTCCAAGGTCACTTTGTCGTCGATATTGGATACTTGGATTTGATGTTATAGACATTTGATCTGTCCTGATGTCAATTCAATTCTGCTTTGAAGACTATTGAAGAATTTTCCGAAATCTATTTGTACTTTTCACCAGCTCCATATTCATATGTGGTATAAATGCAATTAATTTTCCGGATCCAGAATTAAACATGTCTCCAGCAATAACCCATTTCTCCGAGTTTCCCAGATGATCCGGTCTTTCCATTTAGTAAATACTTGACAGATAATATAGATGATATTCTTCTTCAAGCGTTTGCAAATGTTTCTTGGATTCAGGGGTCTTCATTTTTATGACGGGGAGTTGGTGGGATAATATATATTCAGCAGATATTAGGCATAGTTGTTAAAGATGATTTTAACTGGAACTCCATTGGATGAACACAGTTTCCAAAAGTTCAAAAATTATTGTGAAATTGAAAACCAGTTGAACTAAGTTTGAAGAGGCACAACTAATGTCAAAAGGTCGTCCCAAATGATCCAGCCGCCAAAAACAATTTTCTCGAATAATCTTCCAAGGTCACCTTGTCGTGGATATTGAGTAAAATTTGTTTTTGTAGAATTTGGTCTGTCCTGATGTCCATCCAATAAATCAATTCTGCTTTGAAGATTAATGAGGAATTTTCCGAAATCTATTTGTAAGCACCTTATGCATATGTGGTATAAAAGCTATTAATTTTCTGGATCCAGGACTGAACATGTCTCCAGCAATAACCCATTTCGCCGAGTTTCCGAGTTGCTCTGATCTTTGCATTCAGTAAATACTTGACAGAAAAAACTTCACATGTGCTGCTCCAATGAATTGGTTTGGGCTCTCCGTTATCACTCTATTTTAAGTATCCAATTACGTTACTTTGATAATCTTTACAGCTGCTGATTTCATTCGGTTGGCATTTACGTATTGTAGAAGCGGACTTCTTCCGGGTATTTATTCACATTTGAATTTATCAGTCCTAAGCTTTTCCATGTGGGATGTTGATTCTTTTAATAAAAAGCGAAGACCATGTATTCCTGATGCTAACATCAGCAACATGTATAAGTATAGTCTAGGCACACAATGGTAGCTCATCTTCCTTTGGTTGTATTCACAGCTACTGGGTTCGATAGGTTTGTAAGTGTTGCTGTAGCATTCTTGCATTTTCCACCCGTCCTATGCTGTAATTATTCTTTGTACGGGGTTTCAAATGATTCGGAGACAGATGATAATACGGCTACTGGGTTCGATAGGTTTATAAGTGTTGTTGTAGCACTCTCGCATTTTCCCCATCATATGTTCTGATTATTCTATCTACGAAGTTTCAAATGATCCGGAGATATGAAGACAGTATATTCCAGATGATAATACGAAACACAGGTTTTAGGGAGGGTCCAGGCGTAGACTTGTAGTTTAACTTTTTTTGAATTTAGTGGCTTCTTCCAGCTGTCTTCCTCCAATCCAATAAATTAAGGCAGAATCATAAAAACGACATTTACGATATGACGGCGATAGCAGTTCCGTTATCCATTTAAGCCATAAAGTTAAACTTCCAAACGTTCCTTTTTATTTAACCTGCAGCAACACATAATTTCCCAAGTCTAGGTCCGTGACCAAAATTGTATTCCAATTCAAATCCAAAGCTGAATATCGAGAGATGAATTAAGGAAAGTATGTGCTATTGATGATTGTCCATTTAAAATTAGCCGTGCATTTTAGGTTAAATAGAAATAACCTTGATACTCCGCAAACAAGGACTTGATGCTCCGCTATGCAGTCGTAATACGTAAACGTAAATCCATGTTCCTTGTTATATATATTTAAAGTCAAGCTGGAAAGGTGTTGATAAGAAACTATGAACGGTGATGGAGTTGTAACATTAAAACTCCTCCTCCTCCTCACTGATCTATTTTCTTCCAAGACATTTTAAAAACATCCGAACTGATAAGTAGCGTGCGGAATCTTAAAACTGCTTAGCATTTTTCACATTGTTTTCGGATAAAAAGTGAATTTTCCGTTGCCTAGAAAACTTGTCCATAAAATGTTGACTTAGAAGATGCATTTTATTGCTCCCAAAATATTGGAATAAATGGGTGAAAATCTTCTATTATATACAAGAGTCTCTCGGTTGGATTTTTACAACGCTCGATGTGCTGTGGTGTTGAATTGTGGTTTATATACATAATTTACATCCTTAGAATCAACGAGGAATTCGTCTTGTAGTTCATCCAGGGCGAGAAGTTCTTTGACCCATATAAATCTACGGAACGACAATCCAATCTGCAGTTATTGGCCACTCCTCATAGATCTTCGCGAATAACGTACAGCGCCTTGGCCATTTCAATATAGTCAGATTTTAAAGATCAGAGACTTTTTTATTGCTCCAAAAATATTGGAATAGATTCCCTCGGTTGGATTTTTCCAACGCTCGATGTATTGCGGTGTTGAATTGTGGTTTATATATTAATAATTTACATCCTCAGGATCGACGATGAATATGATGTATCCTTCGCTAATTCGCGCATCCAAACTTGTTTTGTAGTTCATCCAGGGCGAGAAATTCATTGCCCATATAAATGTACGGAAGTATAATACAATCTGCAGTTATTGGCCTCCCCTCATAGTTTTTCGCGAACAACGGTTAACCACACGTAGAAGATAAATCAAGATACTTATATTTTAGCGGACTGCTTAAAATTTGACTGCTTAAAATTTGTTGTTATTCCACAAAAGTTCCGATTGGCCGAAGTCAGCCGGTTGACATGGCAGGGTTTCAATGTATCAACTGACGTACAACCATTGTAGCAGTAGTTTTCACAGATGAAACGTTGTTGGATGAAACTCGGTTGTCTCGTATGCTCGAATAAGTTGTCCTGAGTACCCAAACGTTGTCGAATGTTGAATAGAATTGTCATCGTGAATATATGTGGTTTCTTTTATCTGCAACAATTCCCTTAACATTGGCACAGGATTCATGATCGTCGAATTTTATATTGTCCAGCTTATACAGGCAACTAGAACTGATTTCAATATAATTGCGAAAAGAAGACTATCGAGGAAATCCAAATAACATGCCGATTCGTGATTAAGTCTGGCAAATGTATAGTGTTTCTCGGTATCCCAAGTTTTTTTTTCGAGAACTGCTCAATTCATATTTGATGATATTAATTACATAACTCTTTTGTATTGAAGATTGGAATTCAGGCTTGAAATTCGACGTGCAGCACTTTCTATATTAGTTGACGATAAAATATTCAAGCACAAATTATACGAATAATCGGTTTCCCCCTTTTTCGGCAGTGATGATTTGTTGATACAAATAATGACATGCATTTTCCACTATGTCCGAGTCGATTTTACCAAACTTTGTTGTTTGTTCTTTTAACAGAAGATACCTCCACCATTTGTTAACGAGTTTCATTCACTTGAGTTGGTCAGTTGAGTTGATGAAGTCCCTTCACATATATACTTAATACTATACCTTATATAATTCTTAAAACTACTTACAATTTAAGTCTCTATATATATTAAATATCCAATTGTATGTGTCTTTAAAATTAAATTATTTCTTTTTTGAAAAAAAATCTATCACAAATTAAACAAGACTGTTATCCAATTCAATGCTTTTAGCAATCTATGTCTGAGTTATATGATATCTCCTTTTTGTTTTAAACTATATAAATATTCTTCATAATTTTGAAATACATACATAATTATGTACTTACCACAAAGGCCAATGGTTTTTATATGGGAGTGACATACTTAGATATATTACTTAATTATATGAATTTTAAAATGCAGAAAAGAAAAATGTTTTTTTTTTTAAATTCAATTTCAATCCAACTTTTGAAAAAAAAAAATTAAAAAAATCTAAAACTTTCTTATTCAAATGTTGTAAATCAAAAGGCGAAAACGCCGTAACTACTTTTGGAAAAATTGTAAAAAACTAAAATATTTTTATTCAATTATTTTGTAAATCAAAAGCAAAATTAAAAATTATCTTTAACTCAAACTTTTATGTGTCTCTCTTTTTTTCTTTCCTGCATTTGTTTTTCTTGGGCCGGCCAATTATTTATAACTTAATTTAGAACTCTTTTTTATCTCTTGCTCTACTTGGTAGTAGTGATTGGTTGTGTTTGTGTGTTTGAGTTTTTCGGCTATACTTTCAATATTCTATATCCTGAGTGTCGTTGTTGGTTGCTTAGCTTAAAACTTATGGGAGGTTAATACTAGTAGAACTGGACCATCGGACAAATCGAAAAGAAAGCACAAATTAGCCAGAGATTTATTGTCATGTCCATTCGGTGGGTAAGAAACTTTGTTTTGCTGCTCTACTGACTGACTGACTGACTTGCTTGCCAAAAAGAAATGAACTGCAACAACAATACTGTGGCTGATGATTGTCATCGTTAGTTTTCGTATGTTGTTGTTGCTGTTGTTTTGTGGATTTCTTCTTGTCGTCACTGCTGTTTCTTTTCTTGTTGTGGTTGTTACTGTTGTACTTATTTTTGATGACGGAGGTTTTGTTTTAGAATGATTGTAGTTGTTGTTTATGGTTGTAGTAGTAGATTCGCTGCTGCAGCCGCTGCAGTTCACACACTTAGGAAAACTACGATTCCACCAAAATACTAACCTTTGAATTGGAAGAGGATGCATCCACTTTACGACGTTTTGAATCTGAAAAGAGAACGAAAAAAAATACAAGTTAAATAACGTTTAATGTTTCCCTACGTAGGAATCGTCCTTTAGAAAATTTTATCCGCACGATTGCTTCTTATAAAAAATATTCGGAGAACATTTTCCAGTAGAAATTATTATCCGGATAACTCATTTCTATTAAAAATATTATCCGGATAATTTTTTTTCTATATAGGAAAAAATTATTCGGATAATTATTTCTAGAAAATGAAATATAGAAAATATTATTCGGGCAATTTTTCCAATAGAAAATATTATTCGCATATTTTTTCCCTAAATCCGGATAATTTTTTCATTTAAAAAATTATTTGGATATGTTTTTTTTCTATTGAAAATGTTACTCGGATAATTTTTTTCCTATTATCTATATTGTGCAAATAATTTTTTCGGTTAATATTTTTAATGGGAAAAATTATTCGGATAATTTTTCCTATGGAAGATATTATCCGGAAATCTTTACTATAAAAAATATTATTCTTTAGAAAATATTATCCGCATAATTTTTTCCCATAGAAATTATTACTCGGGTAATTTTTGCCACAGAAAATATCCGGATAATTTTTTTTCCATAGAAAATATTACTCGGATAATTTTTGCCACAGAAAATATCCGGATAATTTTTTTCCATAGAAAATATTATTCCATATTTTTCCCTTTATCTGGACAATTTTTTCATTTCAAAAATATTATTTGTATATATTTTTTTTCTATTGAAAATACTACCCGGATAATTTGTTCCTATTATCCATATTATGCAAATATTTTTTTCGGATATTTTAAATAGGAAAAATTATTCGGATAATTTTACCTATAGAAAATATTATTCGGATAATTTTTTTCATAGAAAATATTATTCGGATAATGTTTTCCATAGAAAATATTATTCGGATAATGTTTTCCATAGAAAATATTAATTATTCCATAATTTTTCCATATATCCTGATAATTTTTTCATTTCAAAAATATTTGGATTTTTTTTATTCCAATAAAAAATATTATTCGTATAATTTTTCCACATAAAATATTATTCCGATAATTTTTTCCTATACAGGGTGAGATGAAAAAACTGCAACTAACTTCATACTGCTGTCATTTCTAAGTCACTCGTCCGACAGCTGTTAAAATTATTCCAGTGATAGCTCATTATATTCTTTACAAGCGTACAAAAGCATTATGGTGAGAATTTTCCAGAAAAAAAAACTTTTTCGTGATGGAATTCAAGCGTGATAGTGTGATTTGTTTATATTTGGCGGGAAAACCACAAGTGGCTATCGTTAGAGCACTCCATCATTGAAATGTGAATAAATTTTTTGTGTCTCGTACCATCGCTCGTTACCGTGATACTGGTAGCGTAGCCCGACGTCAAGGAAGTGGACGGAAGAGAACAACAACATCAGCAGAAATGGTTCGAAAAGTAAAGAAGCGACTAGAATGAAACCCACGTCGCAGTGGCCGAAAAATGTATCGTGAGCTGAACATAACCGCAACATTCCATTCGGCAAATATTGAAAAATGAGCTCGGGGTAAAGCCGTTGAAATTCCAAAAAGTGCAAGAACTTACACCGCAACAGAAAGAAAATAAACTTAAAAGAGCTAAAGAGTTACTTCACTTGGCCGAAAGTGGTGAACTGCCGAATTCGGTTTTCTCCGATGAGAAAACATTCGTTGTCCTGGAGTTTGTAAACAGACAAAATGATCGTGTTTACTTGCCAAAGAGGTCAGCTGAAAATGTGCACCTTCGGTTGGTCACCAGAACTCAAGCGCTGGCCATGTGGTGATGGTGTGGGCCGCCATAACTGCCGATGGTCGCTCTTCGCTCGTATTAATCGACCGTGGTATCAGAATAAATGATGAATTTTATCGCGAAAATATTCTAGAGGGTGTATTAAAGCCTTGGGCTCGCAAACATTTTGGCCGCAGACCTTGGACATTTCAACAGGACTCAGCACCATTGCACTCAGCACGCCACCGCCACCCAAGAATGGTTACAAAATGAGGTTACTCGCTTCATTTCCACCGCACAACGTCCACCAAAATCTTCGGATACCAATCCGTTGGACTATAGTGTATGGAGTATTTTGGAAAGCAAGATTGGCACTAAAAAATGCCGAAGTGTTGATCACCTCAAGCAAGCGTTTCGCCGGGAATGGGCCAAAATACCGCACAGCAACATTCGGGAAGCGTGTGACGGTTTCATTGGCCGTTTGAAGGCCATAACTCGTGCCAAAGGTGACCAATGACCAAATCTCAACTTTTTCTAAAACTTGAAGCTGTTTCCGACATTTTTTGCTTTCATTCAATAAAATTAAAAAAAAATTAAAAATTATGGTGTTTTACTTTGTTGCAGTTTTTTATCTCACCCTGTAGATCTTGTCGGACATTTTTTTCCTACTGAAAATATTATCCGCATAATTTATGAGAATATAATTTATCCGAATAATTGTTGGGAATGGATATTTCCGGATAATCTTTTCCTAAAGAAAAAATTCGGAGATTTTTTTATACAAAACATTATTCGGATATTTTTTCCTATAAAAGATATCCACATTTTTCCGATAGAAAAATTATCCAAATAATTTTTAATATTTTCTTTTTAAAAAATTTATCCGGATAATTTTTTCAATGAAAAAAGATTTCCCCCCAAAACGTGTTCTTAACGAACATTCAACTCACCTTTTTCATATTCTATAACATCTTGACTACGTCGTTGTTGCTGTTGCATTGAACCAATACTTTCGTTCGAAACTGAACTCAAATCACGATCACGGGCACGTTCATTGCGTTCATAGTCACGATCGCGTGTATCACGGTCGTTGCCAACATTACGATCATAGTCATTCTTGCTGCTGCTGCTCAACGGCACCGGTGTTGTTTCGATTATTTCCACTGGCGATTCATTGCGATAGCGCTCCTCTCGTCTCTTATCCCGTTTCGAACGAGACGATGATGATGATGAAGTGGCATCAATGATGATATCATCCAATATTTGACTACGATGTGATTCGCGATCACGTTCTCGATCGCGTTGTTCTCGATCCCTTTCACGGTCACGTGTACGTTCATCCTTTTTGGAATCCTTAATGGAACGGGTGCTACTGTGACGATCGTTGTCACGATCCGATATGATGATGGGTGTTGGCATGACCGGTTCATTGCTGATGTCAATGACAGTGGTGATGTTGCGTCCGCTGGTTGTGTCGCGTTCACCACGTTCACGTTCCCGCTCACGTTCCGAGGTGGCGGAGCTTGAATTTAGTTTGATAATTTTCGAAGGACGTTCAGAACGTTCCTTTTCGCGTTTATCTGAAACGGGACAAATAAAATTATCTCCTGGTTTTTGGTTTAAATTAAATTCTCTTACCAGATTTTATTTCCCCATTGCTGGTCTGTTTGGTCTCTGTGGGCAGGGAGGGAGTATTGCTGCCATTGCCGGTTAAATTGATGACAGCCGATATCGGTGGAGTTGTGGTGGCTGCTGCCGACGATGTCGGTGTTGTATTTGTGGCCGATGATGCAGCAGTAGGGGCGGGTGTAGATGACGACGTAGTTGTTGCGGTAGCCTGTGCAGTTTCTGCCCGAACCTGCCTCTCTGTCACTTGATGGAAATCACTTTCCTTAATCATTTGTGCCGCCTTCGTTTTCAATTGACCAATATAACTTGAAGCTATGACAAACAAATCCGGCCGTTTATTTTTCTCTTCCTCTCTGACCTTTTCCACTTTTCGTTCAATTATTTGTGCCAATTTTGCCAATACCGGATAGTGAGGTAAAATACGCATTAGAATAATCAAAGCATTACGTATTTGCATATACTCCTTGGAATCCAGACAGAACACAATGGCTTTGGTGATTTTATAATGCCATTTATGGCAAACGTGGCGATAATTCTCATAGCCAACATGATCGTTGGCTTCGGAAAATTGATTGCTAACACGAAACTTCGTAACAAATCCTGGGTAATTAGCACATTCACGATTAAAGGTGGCCTGATCCGAATGCCAACGCATTACTGTCTCCAACATGGCACAGAGGAAACGTCCATAACGTGTTGCCTCATTCTCGGTGCAAGAGGTTACCGAATATGTGATATCACAAAAGATCTATAAAAGGTGAAAAGAGAACAGAATGTTTATATAAATTTCCAAATTTAGTATTTTCCAGATGAACATTGGAATCCTTATTCTTCTGTGATGTCAGGAGTATTTGTTACCCTAAAGGCAATTGGTTGCTTACCCTATCATAACACAGCAATGTTGAGAAATTTGCCGCTTTTAAATTGTGTATGGTATGGACAAATTTTGCACAATATAAGGCATCGAGGGCAGTGAAAGTACATCTATAAAATCAAACAAAATCATGATTATACATATGAAAAAGGTCAAAAACTCCATTGGTTCCATACCTTGGGAACAGACACAATTGTAAAAATTGTGTAATGGTCTCATTTTTGGCTGACTTGGCAGAGCGTGACAAAAACCAATTATCCTTCTGCTGCTGTAAACGTTGTAAGATTTTATCCACATGCTCTTGCTGTTTCTTGCGCTCATCCTGTAGCTTATCCATGAGGGCAATATAGCGCTCCTGTTCTTTTTTATTTTTTGAGGCATTCTAAAAATATGCAGAAACATGAGTTATTTTTCTTCTAACACAAATTTGGATATGTCTTACCGAATCCTTGGAATCCGCTGCCATTTGTGACAATTGTTTCAATTTGTTAATTTCCTTTTGATAGCTATCATGGGGAACCTGTAGATCGTACATGCTGAGGGACCAAAATGTCACAAAGAATTGAGGCGATATGTCTTCCCAGACTTTCAGACCATGCAAGGGGCGTACAGACTCAACAATGGGGTTCATAATTAAATTGGTGGCTTCTAGATATTTTTGCAATTTTTGATTGTTGGTTAGTTTCTTGGCATTGGGATCAGCCTTGCGTAGTTGATCATATTTTTGCTGAAAAAGCAGAGAAACGTAATTAGCAAATAATTATCTAAATCTATTTATTTTACTCACATTTATTTGATGTGTAAACATGGGCCTGGCCAAAAAGAATGCCACATCTGAATTGATATGATAATCCTGCAGCATGGCAATGATGGAGGGTAGACGTTCTACATATTCATCCACCGAATACGATGATCCCAGGAATGTACCAAACTGAACCAAGGTGTCTTGACATTGATCATAAAGTTTGCCCACCAATTTCAAGTGGCTTTGAGCCGTTTCACGGTATATAACACAATGTTTTTGTTGAGCCATCAGCAGACATAAGGTCACAGCCAAATCATGATTAGCCAAGGCATCTTTAAGACGCTGGGATGACTTTTTGGTGTTCCTTACTTGACTAAAATAGCCAGCCTGAAAGAAAGGGAATAGAATTAGCTTTTTTGGTATCAAAGGATCAAAATTCAGCTTACTTCTCCCCTCAGCAACTCGCCACCACACATAGCATTTAATTGTTCATTGGTCATCTCCTCGGCAGACTCGACACCAGCCATTTTTTGGACAATTTCTTTGAGGATCAACAAGTCCAAACTATAAAGGAAAAATGTTTTTAAAAGGATAATTTTTGAAATAAATCTGACATGTTTCGAATTGAATTTTTCACTTTAAGATTTTGAATTCCTAGTGAAATCTCATTCCAAAAATTTTCATAACTTCGGATTTTGTGAAGAGAATTACAACAATGAATTGTTGGTTTTATTTCTTACCTCTTCTGCGATTTGAGTTGATTGGCCACATACTGCAACAGACCACTGAGTTCGATGTTGTATTTCTTGAAGATGGCACCACAAAATGAGGCTAAACTCTGCAGCCACAATGATATGGATGTGCCATCATGTTTAAAACGATCTCTATCGGCCATGGTAAGGGCTTCAATTAAACAATAACCCAAGCAATCGAATGACAGGAAAGTTAAGTATTTCAAGGAGTCGACAACAGGACCAATTAAATTGTCATAGATTTGGATTTGTAAAAGGATCTACAAAATTAAAAACAATATGGATTAAAATGTTTCCAATTTAGAGGAAATAATAAGCTTACATAATCAAAAAGGAAACCCGGAGCACAATGGCTAAGTTTGCCAATTTGACGTCCCAGGGGTTTGACATTTTCCTTGCTAACACGTTTCATGATGGCCTTAATGTGTTTCTGGGCCTTGCCACGACGTCTTATCAACTGCGGATGCAACAGATAAGTATCATTTTTCCAGCGGGCATAAAGAGCATAGCTATAGAAATTTTGAAAAATAGATAAATTAAAACTCCTTGTTGAAAGGGAAGGACATTCGTTTCGCTTACCGATAATGATAGGGGAAATATTTCAAAACCGTCCAAATTTCCTCGGCTATGGGACAATTGCAATCCAAATAGGATAATGCCGGCAATATGGCAGCATCCATAATGGTCATGGTCTCATTGTACAGTGTCTCAGATTCACTATTCGGCGGCGGTAGATTTTGACTATCCACACCCATGTCCATAATAATGGTACGCATAATACGTATTAATTTATACATAAGCACAGTGTCATAGTGTAATGATGGACCCAATGCTATAACCATTGGAATGACATAACTTCTCAAATCACTAAAATCTTTGGCGCGTATTTTTTGTAATAGCTTTGAATCGTCGGCTAGGCGACGCTTTTGCAGTGTTGCCGCAGGGGAGATTTTAAAACATTTTGTACGATACAGCTGATCGATACTGATGTGTATTAGTTCGGCTAAAGCGCGTGCAATTGGCTCATGTACCACCACACATTGTTCGGGTAGCTTTTTAATGATTTTCAGGGCATTCTCCCAGTCGCCTACTTTGAGCAGACCTTCACATAAACCAAATTTTTGATTGGCAAGATATTTTTCCTGGAAAACAAAATTTGAAAAAAAATGATTATTTATATGTCCAAAAGGAGGAAATTATATTACTAACTAAATTATATTCCTTTTCAGGTTCTGGTTCGGCGGGTTCTTTATCCTTGTTGGTAACAATGACATTCATTTTGCGCACAAATTCCTTGGCATCGGCCAAATCCTGTTCCCACTCACTGGTGATGGCACAATCAGTTGGCGAAAGCTATGCAAACAAAAAGAACGACATAAATTCTTGCTAAACAGCAAAATGATTTCCTTTACTTACCCACACATAGATATCATTTAAATCTATCACACCATATTTCAATAACAATGAACAGACATGAAATAATGATCGTGGTGTTTTTCCATCGGCAAAATAACGAAATTTATAACCCAAAACTTCACAAATAATTGTGCCATTGGGCATGTAGGCCCTCAGCAGGGGTATAAATAACTGCCAACGTTCTGGTCGCGATTCAAAGGATTCCAAAATGATATCCAAAACACGATTTGGATCCAAATTAAAGCAACCTAGAAACAGAGATGTTAAATAAATATAAAATAAAAACAATTAGGAATTTTTGCAGACTTACCAATCAAAGATTTAATTATATCCATAATGCTATCGGAGGTAACATCATCCTCGAATTCTTGATTTAATTCCGTTATGAGCTTGGCATAGCCTTCACTTTCCTCACGGAACAGATTAAAACGTCGTTGTTTGTAGCTACAAAAATACAAAGGAAATACATTTATAAATATTGAACAAACATGGCAAATTTTGTTGGACTTACTATAATTTTGTTTTAATTTTAATAAATTTCGTATAGAACACTTTATTCTTGACGATACCAACTTCCTGAAGTGTATCGATTTCCAGTCTTTCTTTGATCAATTTATCCGGTATAACCTTTTCCAAATCCTTCAGAATTTGACAGAACATTAAACGCTCTTCTTGTATGCCATCTGTCATCAGAGAGGTTTCGGCGTCCAAAACATTCACCACATCCAAAATCAGGGAAGGAAAGTCTTCATGAAGGGGCTGAAAGAGTAAGATTTGAAATTAAAAAAAATTGACACTTAGAAAGAACAAATATGGGATTGCATAGCGCTGTCGTGGACCAAGAAGACAACAATTTTCGTTGATGATATCCCCAAACTTGTGGAATTTTTATGTTGGATAGATATGAGACTGATTTTTAGGAAATTAAATCACAAGCGAAATTTTAGGAAAACAAATTGAAAACTACCACCGAGATTGATTCCTAAAATGGTACTTACAAGTAAAAAAGCTGTTAATTCGGCCGGGCCAAAATTAGAATTCCCTCCACATTTTGGAACGAATAGGGAAATTTTCAAAAAACAAAAAAAAAAATCCGTTTAAAATTCCGTTCAAATCTTAAAAATACCGATTGCAGCCTTATGTATGCGACGACGTGGACCTGCATATGCAACTTTTGTTATAAACTATTACAATATTCAAATCCGAAACTTGAAACAAATTCGGTGAATAATTTAGCTAAAATTATCAAAATTCCGAATATAGGGAGATACCATTATATGGGGGCTATACGAAGGCGTGGACCTGCACAGACAATTTTCTGTCATAGGCTGTAATATCCATTATGAACTTCAAATACCAAATTGGAAACAATTCCGGTGAATAATCTCACTAAAGCAGCAAAATACCAAATATCGGGAGGTACCATTATATAAACGCTATACGAAGGCGTGGACCTGCACAGACAATTTTCTGTCATGGGCTGTAGTATCCATTGCGAACTTCAAATACCAAATTTGAAACAATTCCGGTAAATAATGTTTCTAAAATCATCAAAATACCGAATATCGGGAGGTAACTTTATATGAGCGCTATACGAAGGCGTGGACCTGCACAGTCAATTTTCTGTCATAGGCTGTAGTATCCATAACGAACTTAAAATACCAAATTTGAAACAATTGCGGTGAATAATGTAGCTGAAATTATCAAAACACCGAATATCTAAAACGTGATCCTATATGTCCCATTTTCAATACCAAAAGTCCTGCAGACATTTAGTTCGGAGGCTAAAGTGATTTCAACAGACGGACAGACATCTCTAAATCGACATAGAATTTTATGCTGATCAAGTATATATACTTTTTGGGGTCTAAAATGTGTGCTTCGAGGATTACAAACGGAATGACAAACTTAATACACCCTCCATACTATGGTGGAGGGTATAAAAAGGATTTAATAGCACTAAATTTAAATGTATGGCGTGTAAATTCGAGATGACCTTGCTATTGACTATGGATACGGATGGGTTCTTGGAACTAAATGGGTTAAAAATAGTACGAAATAAGAATATAATACATTGCGTAAAAAGCTATCCGCTCTATCTTCGCCCTATCTGTTGGAAGTCAGGCATTCCAACAAAGGCTGAACCCATATTGATTTTTTTATGAAACAATTTTCTGAACGAAGACCATCCGATATGTTGTAATTCGGTTCGAAAATACCCGGAAATTCCCTAATTAAATAATTAACATCCTAGTAGTAGCAACAATGTTTGTAGAAAATTTCAAAACACTATCTCAAACATTTCAAGTTCAATTGCGATTTCAGCCGGCTGGATGCATACCAAAAAGGCAAGGGAAAATTTTGTAGAATCAAGGATCTATGGGGTCTCAACATAAGTTAAACTATCATTAAAAGAACTCATTTAAATCATCTACTTACCACCACATCACCGAGTGTATTCAAGACGGTATCCTTTTTCAGGTTACAGCGAACACCCTGCCACAATAGATCATATATGGCACTGGAGACACCAAATTTAAAATCACTCTTGGCTCCCATATATGGACTTTCATTGTCGCGAACATGTTGTTTTAAATATTTCAAACTAAAACGAAAATTATTCAAGAACACAAAAGTTTTTTGTTTTACAACAGAGCCAAGCGTTAGTTAGGTAGTTTATGTTGAGTGTGTTTGGTGGAGATAAGCAGCAGTTACATTACTACGGTTGTCTTTATTTGATTTTGGGAGGATGATGAAATATATATTTTTTAATGCTGCCGTGCAGAGAAGTGGGGGACGTTAAAAGCATTGAAAATGCTGTTCTTGCAAAACTGCTGGATCGTACATTATTTTTGGTCAATAAATGACAACGAAAAAAGTATGGGCAATTCCCCAACAAAACAAAGCATGTTGCAGGAATGGAGTATTCTCCATATATATCTACAGAGAGAAGAGCTATCTATGATAGATTAGGTTAAACAAAAACGATTCCGTACAATTCACTCTTTCCCGATTTTTCAAAATGCTTGAACACATCCGAACTGATGAGACTGTTTGTTGGGCTGCCACCACTGCTCCCACCGCCGCCGCCATTTGTTGTATCCATTGCGTTGCGTCGTGACGACTTTGAGGATTTGGTTGGTGTCGTTGTCACCAACGTTTTTGAAGTGGTGGTGGGCGATATATTTTCCAGTATTTTTGTTGTGGTACCATGCGTCGCACTATCCTCTTGGGAGGTATTTTCGTTGGAAATATGAATATCACTTGAAGATGCACTAGCCGCCGTTGTCGAGTCTTCACCACTTTTGCCTTTTGCGGATGGTTTTCTCAGACGCCTCATGTAATCGCGTCGCGTTTCTTCTTATGCACTTCGCGAAAAATGTATAAAACTTTTAAAGTTTTATACTTTTAAGGTGGTTTTTAACACGTTTAGTTATGCTAATATGCTTTTTCAAAAGCAAAATTCTACGAAAAAAGCAAGCGTATATCACAAAAAATTAATGTGAGCACAGAAAATAAAGCCGCAATAATGGCGGGCGAACGGCGTTATTTTGGTAATGTTTGACATTTGAACGGCGTAATTGTTGCATGCGGTTGGCGCCAATGCGACACACGGTGTTGCCACGTTGGAGTAATGTAGAAATGGTGGCTTATATGTTGTTGTATGTCGAATGGCATATTTTCATTCAGATTAAAATTCGATAATATAATTGTTGCCCTGTTCCAAAATTGCAAGAATTAAATTAAAATTAGTTTTATGAAAAACATGGTAAACAAAGTAAAATTCATATAATATAATAAAATAAAGCTACCTCCTAAATACATTTTTTCTTTTGGAACCCTTATTCTGTCAAAACATATACACATTGTGTATTTGTGTGTATTGTTCTGAATAAAAAATACAATAATTTGAAATTATTTCAAATTCGGCTGCAAAATAAATGCATACTTTCGATGCTAATGGGCAACACATTGTACAATATTGGAACAAAACTGTATTGTCCTACTATTTTAAAATCAATCTTGAGGAATAACCCAAAAATTCCATTTTTATTTCGCATTTTTTTCCAATATAAGAATTTTGTTAAAAAATTAAAAAAAAGTCTATTTGAAACTATAAGACTCCAGCATAGAGTTTCATTTTTCCAGTTTCGTTGAATTGAGCAGCCTTTCTGATTTAACCGTGCGTAAAACCAAAAGAATTTAAAAATGCGTTACAAAATTTGTAGAATTATAATAATATTTAAAAGTATAGTCCAACAATCGAAACTGGAAACTTGACGTGCAAGAATCTTTAACTTTAATCACATTTTGAGTTTTGTTTCGTTTAAATCCCATCAAATTCTTATCAATATATCATGCCACTATTACTATCTACGCTTACGCAGTGCTTTACGTAACATACCAACGTATATGAACACGAATTATCAATTCTCTGTGAATAACTAGCGGAAAAAAAGAAGCAGTAACAGACACAACAATCAATTGTTGCAAAATCATTCGCGGACATAAAATCGCAAATATTTCTGTGTAAAGTGAGAAAATATTATTAAATAATGGTGCATTCCATTGGAAAAGAATCATGTTCAAGAATTTAGCAAAAGTTAATACAAATATCAATGGAAGTCTAAAAGAAATTTGATAAAGAAAATAATTAAGTTTCTATCTGTGTGTCAGTGATTATAGTATATGTGTGTTCGTGTGGGAATATGAAACAAATGTAGTCCTAACAATTTTAACGTGAAATATTTATAAAAAAACGTAGCTTGCCAAGTAAGACAGCTTCTCTGCAACATTGTTGTTAAAACAAAAAATCTCAATTTTAAAAGTTCTTAAAACAAACAACAGATGAAAAAGAAGAAAATAAGTGGTAAATGAATAGGAATTTCAAAAAATTGTTTTAAAGCGATGTACGACTTAATAGTGAAGGCAGACAAGGGATATTTGTCCAAGAACACGTGTATTTATATTGTTCCTAATAAATATCAGACTTTGAATTTCGTTGCGTTTCATTCACATTCATATTTTGCCACACCACATGCAAATACGAACATGGGCTACTAGTCCTCTGTGAATAGCGAGCGGTAAGAAGAAACAAAAACAGACACAACAATTAGTTTTTGTAAAATCCTTTTAGGAAATGAAATTGCAAATATTTCGACGTTAAGTGAGAAAAAATTATTAAAAAGTACCGCGCTTCATTGGTAATGTGTCGTATTTAAAAATATTGTAAAATTTATACGAAAAGCGGCAGAATTCTAAAAGAAAATTCGGAAAGAAAATAAATAATTTTCTGTGTATGTGCAAGTGATTCTAGTATATGTGTATGCGTGCTGGAGTGTTAATACAAAAGAAATAAAGTGATTGAAATTTTAATAAATAACAAAGGATTTAAGAAAGATTAATAAAAAAGTGAAACAAAAGTCAAAATTACAGGCAATGTGAAAACGGCAGTTCCCTGTGTTCCCGGCAGTGGGAAAATAATGTTTAAGAGTCAGACAAAAAAGCTGCAAGAAAATATATATTTTGTGTGAACATAAATAACACACCTTGAATTTTGTTTCGTTGCATTCCCACTCGTATATTACCATCTCACTAAACAAATATCAACATGACTTATCAATCCTCAGTGAATAAATAGCGGGAAAAAGAAGAAGCAGTAACAGAAACTACAATCGGCTATTGCAAAATAATTCGCTACATAAAATTGGAAATATTTAAGTGCAAAGTTAGAAAATATTATTAAAATGATATGCATTTCATTGACCAATAGTTATATTAAAGAATATGTTAAGATATATGTAAAAATCAACGAAATTCTAAAAGAAATTTAATAAATAAAATCATTCAGTTGTGATAATTGTGGCAGTTGCTCTAGTATGTTTGTGTAAGTAGGGGAATGTGAATGCAAGTGTAATGAAATCATGGAAATTTTAAAGGCGATCATGTGAAAAATTAGAATTATGAAGCTTGTTTCAAAGAGTGAAAATGTCAAGCAACACTGTCCCAACAACCAGTCCCATTGTGATTTAACGCAACACGTCAAAATCTCATCCAAAAACTATTTGCGGCCAAAGAATTTTTAATTGGCAAAAAGTGAAATTCGTTCAAGTGTGAAAATAATGTCATTCAATTTAACTTAAATATTGCTGTCTGCATCAATTTTACTAACAAATATATCTATGATTGTCAAAATGTTTTTATTACATTTCATTCCTATTTATATTTGATGTCTATATAACGTCCAACGATTAGGCGTTACATTAGTTACAATACCAACAAGCAAAAAACGATAATGGCTATCAATCTTCTGTGAATAACAAGCGGGCAGAAGAAGCAGTAACAAACATAACAATCGCTTGCTGCAAAATCATTCGCAGACATAAAATTGAAAATATTTCAGTGTAAAGTGAGAAAATATTTTTTTAAAAAGAATATATTTTGTTGGCAAATGATAATATTTAAGAATATTAAAAAATTTATACAACAATCAACAAAATTCAAAGAGAAATTTAATGAAGAAAATCATTCAGTTGTGATGGTGTAACCATGGTACAATGAATTCAAGGTAGGGCAGAACTACCATATGATTTAATTTTTTTTATTTTTCTGGCTTAATATGTCAACTTCATTTGCTTATGTGTGTGTGTCTTCTTTTCAATAATAAAAAAAATGTTCAGAAAATATTCAAATTCGGGTGTTTTCAAAATGCTTATTGCAACGAATGCATCGACAAAATCTACAGTTTTTGTCTCGAAATAAACCATAAGAGATATATAGAACATGATATTGAAAAGAAATTTTGACCATTCATTCAGTTTTCGCGGTTTTAAATTATTTATTCAAAATCAATGCAACAAGTTGTTTGCTTTTTTATTGTTTTGATAGTAATTCTGACATTACAAGCCAAACAGGTAGACCTCTATACTTGCAATTTTTTCAAAGTTGACCTACCTTCTCTTCATTGTACCATGGGTGTAACAGTGGTACGTGTGTGGTCTTAAGGGAATGTGAATGTATGAAATCATTGGAATTTTTTTTTTGATCATTGACCAATAGTTATGTGAAAATGTAATTAAAAAGGGGAAGCTTGTTTCACAAAAGTGACAATATTAGAAAACGCCAATGTATAGCAGTTCTTCTTCTATGATAATATTAACCCCAATTATGGAAAAGTTGTAATTTTATACAACAAACAAAAGAACTAAAAGAAGAAAATTGGTTGAAAAAGAAAATGATATTATTCCAAAAATAATTGTGACAAAAGAATTTAAAGGAGAAATTTTAAGTGAAAACTGTTTAAGAACATAAATATGTGATTCAATCTAAGTTCGTATTGCTGCACGCAACCATTTCTCGAATTAATAAATTTCTGCCACACAAACAAAAAAGTTTTTATTGCGTTTCATTTCCATTTATATTTGATGACCGTATAACGTCCAACGACTTCGCTTTACTTTAGTAACAACACCAAAAAGTCCACTTAATCATGGGCCATCAATGCACTGTGAATAACAGGCGGGTAGAAGAAGCAGTAACAGACACAACAATCACTTGTTGCAAAGTCATTCGCAGACATAAAATTGGAAATATTTCAGTGCCAAGTGAGAAAATATTATTAAATATTATTGCATTTCATTAGCAGAGTGTTATATTTAACAGTGTCGTAAAAGTTTATACAAAATTCAAAGAAATGCTAAAAGAAATTTGATTGTTTTGTATCCGTGTGACAGTGGCTCCTGTATTACGTGTTTGTGCGGATAAGTGAATAAAAATCTAATTAAATAGTTAGAAAGTAAATTGTAATCGAATAAAATTGGTAAATTTTAATAAAAACGCGAAGTTTGTTTGACAAAATAAGTAAATAGTTAATCAGTGTATTGTGCCTGCCCCTTTGCATTTATCTTGCTTAATCTTGCCTGCCGCCATCTTCCACCTCGGTAAGTAAGTATGTATGTACATATCGTTGAATATTCTAATAATAACTGCAAACCTGTGTGATTAACGGGTTTCCAGTCTTATTATTTATGTTCAAAATAGAACATAGCAATGATAATAATTACAATTGGGTGTTCCATATTTGTTTACATAAATTTAGGGTTGCCGCTCTTTTCAGATAAAGTAAATGTAGTTGGCATGTGGCATGATTTTAAAAGCATTATTTCTAATTTTTCCAAAATTTACCATAATTGAATTAAAAAAACTTTGCATCGTATTTTGTTTTTCACCAACCCTAGTTGAATTAAGAAAAACTTTAAATCGCATTGTATGAAATATTAATTTTTTCAATAAAATTGTCCTTCTGAGTACTTTACCCCCTTGAAAAGTATTGTTTATATGAGTTATATCCCCCATGTAACGGTTCCACCCCATATTCGGTATTTTGATGATTTTAGCTACATTTTTCAATGCAATTGTCTAAAAATTCATACTAGAAGTATAGACCACATGCACCGGTAACACCCGATACTCAATATTTTGACGATTTTAGGAACATTATTCACCGGAGTTGTTTCAAAGTTCGTATTTAG